TTGGGAAACTCCAGTCTCCCTCTCGAACTGGAGAACGAATCACCACTGCTGTTCTACCCCTCGACGGCCCAGCCAGATCTTACTCTCAAGACGCTCAATGGAACGTGGATTGATCTGATCTTCGACATCCATGGCCAGATACAGCCCCCTCATCCAATCCACAAGCACGCCAACAAATTCTACGTGATTGGCCAGGGGACCAGAGCGTGGAATTACTCCTCTGTCGCTGAAGCCATGCAGCACACCCCGGAGAGTTTCAACCTCAAAACGCCCCAGATCCGGGACACATTCATCACTCCACCGTCAGCAACTGAGGACACCTGGCTAGCTATCCGGTACCAGGTGGTGCACCCCGGTGCATGGCTACTCCATTGTCATATTCAGGTCCATCTTAGTGGCGGAATGGCGATAGGGATCCTCGACGGCGTAGACGAATGGCCTGAAATACCTGAAGAGTATTCTATCCGGGTTTGAAGGTATGAAAGTATGACGTTTGAAGACAAATTATAGTGATACATTGATCTCTAGAACGTTTAATGTTTAGTATAATAGCAAATGCATTTCACGCGAGCCATTGCACTATTGGCTGTAAACATTGGACAATCATGCCATGGAAGCCTCATAGTCTCCAGTCTAGAGTAGGGGGATTGACATTATCATGGCATACAGCTATATAAGGTAAACAAAGTACAACCTGTGACTACTCTAGGATGCAGACTACATGCGAAAGGCAAAGAATGGTCGCCAGTATGACGAGTGTATTGCTTGAAGATAGTTTCTATGGATCACAAATGCTCCCGGACATATCTATACATGGATCAATAATCCTCCTCCTTACTTCCCAGCTCCGCCGCTATCAAAACGCTTTGCTTAGCAAACGGGCTTCGATTTCGGATCCGCTCGCCATAGAATATAAACAATGGAGGGGCTATACAGAACACAGTTGCCAGAGCGGCAAGGAGTGACACAGCCACATTTGCCGTGAGGCCATCAAACATTTGTCGCGTGAACAATGGAAATACCCCGGACAGCAAGGCTCGGAGAAAGGCCACAGCGGCCATAGCACTGGCCGAGTAGCTCAGGTAGCAATCGCTCAAGTAGGAATAAAGCACGGTGTCGAATTCATTCAACGCGTACCCCATCATGGCGAGAGAGATTGATGGCACAATCCAGTGTGTATTCGATGCCTTTGGTGGAATGGTCCAGGCGAACCACCATAAGCCGACCGCCAGCACAGGAGCACCGATAGCAAGGCCGGACAGTTTATCTTCGGGTCTGAAAGGCAGGTTCTTGCGCCGGCGAGTATCGAATACCCGATTATCGAGGAGTCGCGTGAGAGTGCTGAACCAAATGCCGCAGGCAATGGCAAGAAAGGCGAGGGAGGATTGTGTCCGAGAGAAGCCCATTGTTTCGTAAATGGGCTGTAGCGCTTCGGTAAACATGTACAGGAGAGAAAAAGCGAAGGCAATCATCATGGATATGATGAACACCAGGGGCTCTCGGCAGAAGAGAATAGCGGGTCGGAATAGAGCAACCTTGAGAAAGGTGCGCAGGTCAGGGTGGTGATCATGATTTAAGGCTTGGAGATCCTTTCCGGTGTTACGAGACAGCTTAGCAACTTCTCGTGTAAGCAAAAGAGACGGTCGAGATTCCCGGATGAACATGAACAGGACACTCATAACCCCGATGATTATCGCATAGATATAGAAGAGCCACCTCCTGTACAATGTGAGTCTAACAGCCCCCTGTGATACAAACCGGGGTCAACATACCAGTTCAATAAAGTACTAAAATACGTGCCCGTGATAGGCCCGATACATAATCCCAGGTTGGACGCAATAGTCCACAAGAACATCACCCATATCCGTGGTCGTGAAGACCACATGTCTTCAACACTACCTCCACCAACAGTGTAGGGGATGGCAGCCAGCATCCCAGTCCCCACGCGTCCGATTATCACTGCAGCGAGGGAGTGAGGAACGCCGACTACCACACAGCAGACTGAACTCAGAGAACTGCTAATGAGATAGAGTCTTTTGCGACCAAACGTTTCAGACCATGGGGGCAAGACGACTGTCCCTATTACCTGACCAAGCAGGAACCTATGAACACAAATCAGTCAACACAAAGTACTCGATTGGCATAGGCACAATGGTGGCTTACACTGTTACAAAGCAGAAGATGGATAGCTCAGATCCAATCCCATATTCATGCTTTGCCTCTGAGGCAGCCGACGCCTATACCTGTTAGCGGTCACGTTTGATCACACGGTTCTCTAGCACATACGCCAGCAGTGCTAGAAGCTGTCCTGTCGAGAAGTTAGCTCGCAGCGCGTCTAGCGTAACGATGGCCTGAGCGTACAGGAAAAAGTCCAGCAGTAAGATGAGACCAGTGTCAAAGCATTTCCGCCATACAGGCCAATTCCTTGGATGAATCGGATTAGCACGGTGCCAGCGGATATACTGCCCGTCTGGCGTCTGTTCTAGATGATGGTCTGCTAGATAGTCACTCGCCAAGGAGTTTTCGGCTGTTATGGAATTCGACCTGGAATTCATGACTCTCGAGGTAGAAATACGCCACGAATGCAAGAGTTCAGTAGAAATTCTCTTGAAAGATTTCTCTCGAACCTCAAAACATCTGAACTTGCCTCAGAAACGAAGGTCCATGATAATGCGATGCTTTATTCTTCAATGATTAGCGGGCACACCATTCTGTATATATTGAACCGAGAGCGCAAGGGTTTCGCAAACTCTACATTCCGCTCAGCTACAGCTATTTTCCGCAATTGCACATACTTGTCCAAGAGATACGTCACATTTTAGTAAGTATAGTCAAGCCTTGCATCGAGCTTGCGTTTACATGTGGGCCTGGCGGGTACCAATGTTTAATTATTGAGTGTCGTTCCTTGATATAACGCAAGTGAATTTTGTTTTCAACCTACAAGACGCGCGAGTATGGCGGGCCGAGCTGCAGGACAAATGATCTACAGGGGGAAATCACATTGTAGTGGAAATGCAATTGTGCGGACCCTTTACATTGTTGAGCAACATTATGACCATAGGTTAAATCTGACAGGATGGAAGCATAACTGTCTCCACAGTATAGCGAAGTACGGAGCTGGCCAGGATCATATTCTCCAGAAGTATGAGTCCGTTGGCATAGACATGTCACTGTCCTACTGGCTCACATATACTCTACGTTTTGGTATGAAGATCTCCTTAGTACCGAAGAATGTGTAGTGCGGTAGCCCCTTGCGTCGTAGAAGTAGTCGTAAAGTAGGATTGCTTGCACGTTCCCACATAATTTCTTTCCACTGAATCCAAACCCAACAAAGACCGTCTGCTACTAACTGTGAAGCCTGTCCCTTGACATCGGACAGTATGAGGAAGGCCAAACCAGAGGGGTGAGTTCCTGTATAGACTTTCCATGGCTACATATGGTTTGAGCCCACTGATCTGGTCAAGTTAAAGAGGACAGATATAGCCTCAACTCAATCCACAGACTCCCATATTCATACGGACAACTCGCCGATACACGCCAAGAACACACGGAGATTTAATGCATGAAACTCCACACGTTGTACATCGGGACAACGGCACTATGTCTTATTGATTGTACAGTATCGCGGGCGATTAATGAATGATGCCGGAGATAGATGCTTCGACCAACTATCTTGATTAGCTGTGCCAATCCTGGAGTCGAGGTGTGTGGGATGGCTAATGTATGCAATTGCAATGTGACACGCGTTCTCTTCTGCTTCTGCGCGTTCAAGATACCCCCGATACTCTTTGTGAACCATAGGCTCTTTCCAACACTGAATGAATACATGGTCACGTATTTTTCGGGGCATTAGTGAGTGCGTTGGGTGTGTCGCATGCCCCCGACAGGGACAACAGGGGCGCCAATCAAAAAGAAACCGATAATTCCGCCAAGATCCCATCAGATGCGTGGGAACTTGTGTGCTGAGCCTGTGCGCTACCCTCAGTTTGATCAAACGATTATGGCGGTTGGACCAGTGGCGTCTGTCTTTCGCTGGTCGTAAATACCCATCTCGTGAAGGATACCAACCAGTTTTGGGCGGTCCGCACCATCACTGCAGCATTGAGCCAGCTTCAGTGGCATTTGTCAAGGCTCAGTCGTTGTTCTAAGGCATGATCAATGGCTGGTAGGGTGGTCAAGATCGCGAACGGTCAGCCAGAGGTCATAGTGACGACGAGGGAGGAGAAAAGAGCTGTTCCGAGAGAAAGACGGTGCTTACTTATGTCCTGACAGTCCCACAGGCAAAGTCATAATGATCGCGAGGCGTAAGATATGGTAGAAGACACAGGAATTCGACAAACTTGCTTTGTGTATTTGAAGAGGAATAGATTACCATAGGGCCATTGCATGAAATGTTGCTCATCGAGGCTGAGCCACCTCACTATATACCGGAGAGACTGTCCCTTGTGTTCTGGCACCGAGAATATGCTGCCAAGACTGGATTAACTGGCGCGAGATGAGTCATTGATGAGGTTGAATTTAACGTGGGAATAGCTTGGCTCTGGGTACTGGCCCAGAATAAGCGTCCGGTATCGCTCCCCCTGACATGAGTCATGTTGGTCCATATACATATGTCGCTATCACATTAAATAGCCACCCCGGTGATCGGGAAGCAATATCGGTGGGAATAATGCGTTTGACTTGGCACTTTTCGCTTACCACATACTTATCGAGACATGTATCGAAAACACCCTATCAGTCGGGCTGGCAATGCCCTGGCTCGTACCGTACGATGTCAACAAACCTCACTTGCTCGATCGTATATCTGGGCTGCGAAGATAGGGGGCATTGGACGAAGGATAACTACGGTTGCGACACAGTCGATGTAAGTAATAGAGTGCTTTGCGCACAGGTCCCAATCGATCTCAACCGCTATCGTATGATCTCATCAGCCCTAATTGATCCTGTTGGTGTAAAGAAAAGCAGAACCCGCATCGAGTGCAACCGTTCGCCCGACAGGCATGGAGTATAATGTGTCTTCAGCGAGCCAAACATCAATGGAAGTGGATGAATCGTATGAGAATAGTCCAGGTTGTGTGCGGTGTCATGGTGCTGATGCAATACGCAGGTTTGTTGGAATGACGGGCGGCCAGATCTTTCATGAGATGATGCGACGGCACGGTGTTAAACATATCTGTACGAACATGAGCAATGCCTGCATTTTGGTCGCTTACTGACACACATGTCGGTAGTTGGATACCCTGGTGGAACTATCCTTCCAGTCTTCGACGCCATCTACAATTCCAAGTATTTCGATTTCATCCTTCCTAAGCACGAACAAGGAGCAGGGCATATGGCTGAGGGGTACGCAAGGGCATCAGGGAAGCCAGGCATCGTTCTGGTCACCTCCGGACCCGGGGCAACCAATGTCGTTACTCCGATGCAGGATGCTCTGTCCGATGGGACGCCAATGATCGTCTTCAGCGGCCAGGTAGTGACCACGGCGATTGGCAGCGATGCTTTCCAAGAAGCCGATATTCTGGGTATATCGCGAGGCTGCACAAAATGGAACGTCATGGTACGCAACGTTGCTGAGCTACCCCAGAGAATCAATGAAGCTTTCGAGATTGCCACGAGTGGTAGGCCTGGCCCGGTTCTTGTGGATCTACCCAAGGACGTGACAGCAGGTATACTCAGAAATGCCACCCTACCGGGTCAGCTATACCTCGCATCGCGCCCTACGCAAACACCGACGCAAACCAAACGTTACTCACCAAGTCGATCTCTAATGTTGCCAACTTGATTCACACCGCGAAGAAGCCCGTCATCTATGCAGGACAGGGTGTTATTCAGTCCCCGGGCGGACCTCAGCTACTCAAGAAGCTTGCTGACAAGGCGTCCATACCGGTCACAACAACTCTGCAAGGCCTTGGTGCCTTCGACGAACTCGACGAGAAGTCCTTGCATATGCTGGGAATGCACGGCTCAGCATATGCGAATATGGCTATGCAGGAAGCCGATCTCATCATAGCTCTAGGTGCACGGTTCGACGACAGAGTGACATTAAACGTCGCCAAGTTTGCACCTGCGGCGAGGGCAGCCGCGGCAAAGGGTCTTGGGGGTATTGTACAGTTTGAAGTGCTACCGAAGAATATCAACAAGGTGGTTCAGTCCACTGAGGCTGTTGTCGGGGATCTCACAGAGAATCTGACACACCTACTACCCCATTTGAAAAGGACCAGCATGGCCGAAAGGCGAGAATGGTTTCAACAAATCAACGAGTGGAAAGCAAAATGGCCGTGGAGTGCTTACAATCGGGATGAACGACCCCATTTGATCAAACCGCAGCATGTCATTGAGGAACTGAGTAACCTCACCGCAGATCGCAAACAAGAGACCATCATTACTACGGGTGTTGGCCAACATCAGATGTGGACTGCTCAGCACTTCCGTTGGCGTTCTCCCCGTAGTATGATTACCTCTGGTGGTCTTGGTACCATGGGCTTTGGGCTTCCCGCTGCTATCGGCGCCAAGGTAGCGCGTCCAGATGCGCTGGTGATTGATATTGATGGGGACGCATCGTTTAGCATGACCTTAACAGAACTGACCACCGCCAGTCAATTCAATATCGGGGTCAAAGTTATCGTTCTAAACAACGAGGAGCAAGGAATGGTGACCCAGTGGCAAAATCTATTCTACGAGGACCGATACTCACACACACACCAGCGTAACCCAGACTTTATGGGCCTGGCAGGGGCAATGCACATTCAACATCGACGTGTCAGGAAACCTGAAGACATCGTTGAGTCTCTCAAGTGGCTTATCCACACGGAGGGCCCTGCTCTGCTAGAGGTTATCACCGACAAGAAGGTACCAGTGCTACCAATGGTACCTGCTGGCTCAGGGCTGCACGAGTTCATTACGTGGGACGCACATAAAGACAAGGAGAGGAGAAGTCTGATGCAGGACAGAACATGCGGGCTCCACGGATGAGCTTGGACACAGCCTTCTGGACAATGCGTCACACCTGTGTATATGTAGCTAAAACGTGATATTATAGGAGCAGTGTTAATCAAGCATGCTACATAGCTGACATGATCCAGCCGAGACCATCAACTCAGTTCTTTTAAATATTTCCATACATCTGTACTTCATTTGTACTTTGTTTAAGGCTACGGATAACAACCTGGGTCCTTAACGCTGCGCAATACCATGATAATACAATCCCAACTCTAGAATTCCGTACCAAATAGGCACATGTCAAAGTAATATATGGAGCCACCGGGTTGAATAGTATCAATATAATCTAACACGTCTAGAGAGAAGCCGCGATGAGTCTTTTGTATCCCCGCACCGCCTCTTCCAGCTCGCCGACCGTGATTGCCTCATTATCGGCATGAGCAACAAGAATACTTCCAGGTCCATACAGATATCGCTTGACCTTTCGAGTCCCCTGGTCATGGATCTCCAGTGCGGGGGCATCGGTCCCGTAATTCACGGTGATCACTGGAAAACCGTCCACATCCGCATCGAAGTACTGTGGCACAGCGCCGGTGTTGCGATCGCCAAAATCAAGATAAACACTTTTGTCATCTCCAATAATGCCTGTCACAGCTTTCTCGATGATCTCTCGAGTGTCCTCTGGAGTTCCCGCTGCAAGGCGAACACTAATTGCTGCTTCAGCATGTGCTGGGACCACGTTGGCGGCAACTCCACCATGCACCAGACCAATGTTCAATGTTGACTGTCCCAAGGTCTCACTGCGAAGAAGACCACCTTCCTCGGGCGGAAGATCCTGCAGGGTGTCAAGATGAGCGAGAACAGGAACTAGCGCTGAGATGGCACTCTGCCCCAGCCAGGGGTATCCCGAGTGAGCCGCTTTGCCCTCCGCGACCAGTTTGAATCCTAGAGTCCCTTTATGTGCCGCGACGAGGCTGAGCTCCGTTGGCTCTCCGAATATAACCGCACGGTATGTCGGAGGCGTCGGGTTGAGCTCAGAGTTGGAGAAATGTTTCATTCCTACGGCGCTATTTTCCTCGCCGACATCGAATAACAACCCGATCGACGCGTTGGGATTTTCCGCGAGTATTTCTAGGGCAGCAAACACAATCGCCGCAACACTCGCTTTGGCATCCACCGTACCACGGCCAGCAATTACGAGGTCGGTACGATTGAAGAACTCTGTGTCTGAGGCTGGTGCATGAAGCGAGTAAGGAATGAAGGGCGGCACAGTGTCGATGTGGCTGGTCACCAACACGTCCGGATGTCGGTTGTTCCCAACATACGCGTATATGTTGAATCTTTCTTCCTCGTCGCTTTCCGGAGTGACGACTTGTTTTTCCACTGTCAGATTTTGCGAAGCGAGGAAATCTAGGACAAAATCCCCCACGTGTTTCTCGTGCCCACTGATCGATGGGATTTGCACGAGGGACCGGTGGAAGGAGAGCAGAGGCGATGCGTCGATTATACGGTCGAGACCCTGAGATACATCCTCGAGCAAGGGTTGTTGATGCACTAGGGCCAGCGCCCCAGCTGTCACCAGGTTAACACGCAAGAGATCCGTCGTCTTCATAATTTAAACTCTCTGTAAACGGTGATCGAGGTGTGAGAAGAGGTTCATCGACACGGTGAGGGGGGAAACTGATAAGACAATCGGTCCCCGCTATGGCGCCTTGGCCTTGAAACGATTTAGCTATTAGTTTATTATCTAACTAGCCCTCAATTGACTTATTGTGCAGGAAGGACGCATGCTAGCGTAAGCACTGAGTTCCCTTGGGCTCCCTCCTCCCAATACTCCATACTACATACAGGACCCGTTACTGCCGCTTCTCCCCAACGTGTATATCGACATCGTCCAACACCGCTTGATTCTGCTTCGCCGCTGCAAGCCGGATTCTCTTGAGTTTCCTCGTATCAACGTCGACCTTCCACGTAAATCCCCAAGTAATAAGATTCATAATGATAGCCATCCCCACAAACCCCATCGCAATCCCAAAAGAGGTCGTGTATCGCGGCGCGTACCGAGAATTAAACAGTTGAGACCCCACGGCCCCTCCAATTTGACCGTAGCTATTTGCAAAGGCGATGGCGAAGGCAGACCCCGTAGCACCCTCAGTGGTCTGCACGCGCCAGGGCCACATCATCACGTACCTACTGGGCTTTAGCGTCCAAGGCGTGATCAGAGAATACGAGATGGGAAGCTTACCATGCAGTTGAGAACCCCCCGGCGATAATGGTTGCCGCGTACACGCCGCCGGTATTCGGAAAGGCGTAGAGCACGCCATAACACACCTCGATGACAATCATGAAAGCGAGGGGAATAGCGGGCTGAGGAATCCTTCCCCTGTCGGCCAAGATGCCAAACACGACCGTCAAAAGTACTGCGAAAACCGCGGAAGGAATGTTGAGCAGTTGGGCTTGGCCGATAGAGCTGCCACGACGATTAGTAAATCTGCCCTCACATGTCACGGTCGGAGAAACTCACGTAAACCCAAGGTTTGCTATGACGGTTGGTTGGTAAAATGTAAGTCCTGTAGTGCCGACGGTGAAGAAGGCCCAGCAGAGGAGGAAGAGCCAGATTCTCTTGTTTTTCAGAGTTGTGACGAGTTCGCGCAGGTCGAAATTGGCTTCCGCAGCTCTTGGAGCGTTACGAGGGAGGCGCGCTTGAATGAACGCCTGTTCTCTTTCAGACAGCCAAGATGCCGTAGAGGGAACTATACAAGGGTTAGTCCAAAGCGGCACCTCCTGCTGGTATGATGGCTATACGTACAATCTGGTAAGAGGAAGTACGTGACGATCCCCAATATCACCGTGAAAATACCTTCGGTCAAGACAAGCCTGGAAAGCAGTATGAATATCGTAGCTTTCGTTTTTTGGAATGGAAAGCCCCTTACCATTTCCAACCAGAGAGGCCACCGGCTGTCACTCCGTTAAACGCAAAAGCAAGTACACCACTGATGACCGTGCTGAAGTTACCAAGAAGTGTCACAAGAACTATACGAGGGGCAATCTCGTCCGGTCTATACCAGTAGCATAACTGGACAAGCATGCCAGGCCACAGGCCGGCCTCAAAGAGGCCAAGGAAAAATCGAACCGCATAGAGACCCTGTCGGTTAGTCACCGCTGCATGACAGCAGAGTACGACTCCCCAGGATACCTGTGCTCTTCAGCATCTAGACCTCTCGTGAAACCAAATCATTTTACTAACCATGATTCGGGCCTGCCAGATGGACGGTCGGGCGCCTTTCAGCAGAAGATTGGAGGGTGCTTCTGCCAGTATATAGGGGATCTTTAAGCAATCAGTATAAATCTTCGTTTTACACCTGGTCAAACTCACGTAGTACATGGTTGTAACCAGGTTATACTGATTGGATGTCATTTTGAGCTCGGTTAAGATATTGCGAGACGTTCCTTTATCCATGGTGAGAGCGTAGGATACCTGGCAAGGTTAGGATGCAGACTTGCATGTCAAGGTGAATCACGGGGTAAACCTACATTTGTGAAATCAACACTCTTCACCATGTACATGATCGCTAAGAGTGGAATTAGGTGCCAGTCTATTCGCCGTAGCAGCTTTTTTTCCTCTGTGCTACTAAGACTTGCTCGCGCTCGCATGAGATTGGCGTCGTAACCTGGGATAACATCTCCTTCATACTCAGGCAGGGTGTCCTTTTCAGTCCTCTTGACATAGTGCACGTTCCCTCTTCCCTGACCCGGTGATTCCCCTATCGAAACGTCGCTTGCTTTATTGTTTGTTGAGGGTGCCGCTGGCGCGTCGTCTTTTTCAGAAAATCCCACAGACATCGTGGGAAGCCAAAAGGCGAACAGTCAAGAGGTTTCTCGGGATATGCAATGGAAGGCTAGGGGCATCTAAAGGGTTTTATGAGCTGCATCCATGATTTAAAAATTATCATAATTGGCCAGGGGGCTCGCTTATCGTTTTGCAATAGCCAAGCTCGATTGCGCAAGGGGAACCTCCTCGGTACGGAGAACATAGGGACATGGGATATCAATCTGACATACCCCGCAGCTGGGAGATCAATGTGCTGATAAGACGTCGAAATGGAATCATTCCTTTCTTGCACAAGCTTGGAGCCAGACTTTGGAACGCTGGTGGCAGTGCCGACTGTGTCAACTGGACTACGACATGCTAGCGAGCAGTAACATCACGCCTGGATATTCATAAATGGACAACGCTTCACCCCTTGCATATGATGGGATATATCGGCAATTGCTATCGTTTGCATACAGCTCGGCAATATCCCTCAGTCAAATACTTCTCTCACGGCTTGGCTGCCTCTCAGTTTCCGCACGGGTTATCTTCACTTAATCCACCAATTAAGGCGATGCCAAGTATTTATATCTCTGCAGTCGAATATGTGGATGCCGTTAGATACTAGACCCACACCTTGGCACGGATTAGGGTCAGAGGGTCTTTGACACTGTTTCTAGATGCAAGCGCTATTATCCTGGGGTGTTTTTCAGTGTTCCGGTCATTGTCAACTACTGTAAAATGCTGTAAGTCATGTAATCTTTCTTTCTTGCAGTCTTACGAACAGTGTTGGCCTAATTCAATCAGCAGTAAAGGAAGAATGAGCTTTGGTCAGGTTATAAAGACGGGTTAGAAGAAGAGCTACACCGAATCTCGAATGAGGGTTGGCAATCCAACATTACATTATGGAGTATCTGTATAGCCCATACCTTCAATAGAGATATTTATGTGAATGTGGTCACCAGCATTAGCTTCTGATAACGTCAATCCAGCCAATGCGTATAATAGTCGCGTACTTCTTGATCTAGATCGCCTACATTCCCGAAGTGAACAACGCATTGAGTTAAGATACATACCCTCATTTGTGGATCCCACCGGTGAGATGTGACAAGGAGAAGCATGATATGACCCATGCCTGTCCGGTAAGTCATCGGGGCTTGCAAGCTCCACAGTTGAATGTAATTACATTCCTCCCTGAGCGAAGAAGAGATACAAGACGCTT